GAGGCAGAGAGAGAGAGAGAGAGGGACAGAAAGAGATGGAGCTTCCAGCATGATACGCTGCAGTTGCATGTAGCTGCAAAAGTTTTGTTACTGACTTTCGTACCGAGGACTAACTTAAATTACGTATACGCAAAGTGCGCGTACAAAAAGTATTGAATGTTACATTTTTTTTTTTTTTTTTTGGTAACATTCTCTGCTGTTGCCTGTTTTCTGCCACCAGTTGTTGTTGGTTGTTTGCCATCAGGTGTTAGCTCTGAGCGCTAGCCCAGCTTCCTGTTTAGATTGAACTGCCAATCAAGCAAAAATTGTATAAAATTTTTGGCACAAAACTCTCGAAATACGATTTACCATTTTTATTAGCCACAAAATCTAATCGTGCTTAGGCAAACACTTGCATTCAATTTGCTAGCTGTCTGCCACTATACCATCCCAGCCTTTGTTAGCTAATATTCATACCCAGTTGTAAGCATTGAAATGTGTGTACAAATAGGGTATATATGGTGATATGTTAAGAGATGGACAGAAGTAGGCATCTCATCCAGGTCTTAAATTTATGTGTAATGAAGTAGTGGGTAGAAGGATATTTTAATAAAGCTTCACGTTTGTATTATATTAAGCATAGCGCTATTTTTCTCGAAACTATTGCTCACCTTCAGTCGATAGATATTAGCTTGGGTCCAGGCCTTATAATTTTATTAGAGACAGAAATATTAAAAAAAACTAATAGAGAACCTTTCAAAGATTCTCTGTAATTTCAAAGTGTCCCAGATCGAAAAATTAATAAAATATATATAGGTGTTACGAGGCTTCCCCATACAGGGCATTTCGCGGTCGAGCACTCCTGCCTAGTGTTCCCTTGCATATTTTCTGCTGCAACTGCAAATTTGTGGCACAAAATTCTTGAATCAGGCCAAACAATTGCGGTCTGGGCAGCAGCAGCTCAAGCTGCGCTGCCAGGCAACACCTCGACTGCGGTTGCCAAGCGGCATTCGAAGTTGAAAATTCAGATCTGTGGACACGCTCCTTTTAAGCTCGACCCTTGCCTAATTGAATGTGCAGCAACAACAAGAAAAGCTCGGAAAATTGCCAAAAAACACTCAAAATATAAACCGCAATTTGATTTGTTTTGTGCGTTTGGTTTTATCGTCCGTCCGCAAGTCGACAAAGAATTAAAAAAACGAAAAAAAAAAAAGCATGAAACCAAAAATTACCAGAGTTTTGCACACTTTCGACTGCTGCCAAAGCCAATTGCTATTTGGGCTTAGTGTGTGGAAATGTCAACGACATAAAACGGATAAAGGCCAACACTGTCAGACCTGTGTCTGTCCCCCTCACTCCCCTGACCGGAGCCCTAATACAAAATGTAACAGTTCACGTTGTCGCATGAAACTGTTAAGAAGCAACAACATAAAAGCCAGGACGAGATTTACCCAATCTCAACGCTCGGCGACGCATTTCAAATGCGAACTGCGAATGGAAATGGCCGGTGGAAATGGTCAGCGACGGAAGACGAAGCAGCAGCAGAGTGCGGGGCAATGGGAAATGGAAAATGGACATGGAATCGATCAATGGCACTCGTTTAGCTGTCCTTTCGGCCGCAAATAAATTGAACTTAAATAGGTGACGTCAAGGACGTTAAACGTAATATGGGCTTCAGTCATGGCAGAGGTATGCATCGTGGGCATTGGTAGGTAACGATGAAGTCCATATACCCTACCTTTCAACAATTTGCTTTTGGGCCAACTCTTGGCCATGCTTTACTCTGATTTTGTTCAAGCAATTTTTCAAATAGGAAAACTTAAATGCCCTACACTCAAGCAGAGGTATTCGGGCAACATTATTTACCAAAGAAACACATTAAAAAACATAAAGAATAAAGGAATAGGCAACTGTAGATGAAAAGTCTTCATAATATATATACATGTACTTTAATACCCTACGTGCTCTAAATTTAACTTGGAATTTAAAAGAAAAACTGTTGAGCAGGACTTTTCATCTTATAAAGTCGCGATGTAGCTATTTTAAATGGCCTACACTTTCGCGCTTTTGTTGTCAATGGCAAATTTATTAGAAGGAAATGGTCACGGCTATAAAATAAGGGCCTACTCTAAAGTCTACATCCCCAGGCCATTTCAGTCAAGGCAAATTTATTTAACAGAAAATACTTCGGAACGGAAATGGCGATTAGAAAATAACTTTGAATGTCAGATACTTGCGATTTAACACAGTGCAGATACCCTACACATTCATTTAAGTGACATCCCACTCCGGATACCCTACAACATTTGACACACAATTAGGGAATTAAAAATGTAATTAACATTGATCTCCTAATACCCTACACACTTGAAGTATGTCCTCCCCAATGCAAATACATTTCAAAAGACAACTTTCTCTTCTCTCATCGCTGGTTTAGGGTATACGCCAGCTTACTATTCCCTGGGCAATAACTGTTTGACTTTGATTACGTTTCGAATCCCCAAAGAAGAGCCACCAAATTTGCCACATCCTGCGCAGCATTTGATATCGACTGCGACGCGACGTCGCCTCTGTGTCAAGTGTGTCTGGGAGTTGGGCTCAAATTAAGTGGACTGCCCCGAATAAAAACGAAGAATAAGAAGAAGAAAGAAAATTCCTTTGCCAAATTGTGGGACACCCGACTCCTCGGCTTGTTGTCAACTTTATTATTTTGATTTTTTTTTGTTGTTGTTTTTGCTTTATTCTGCTTTTAATAATATTTTCACTTTGATGCTGTGGGCCACTTTGGTCAGCGTTTGCCCAAGTCTCCCGGCTACGTCTCCATCTTTGCCCTTCTCTCCATGTGCGCCTGCGTCTCTGCGTTGTCTCAGCCTGTGTGTGTTTGTGTGTGTGTGTATGTGTGTGTGGGTGTGTGTTTATGCGTCGCATTACGGAAGTTGACAATTTAATTTTATGTACTGAAGGACTGGCCGGATCTTTGGTCGAAGACTACGCTCCCACAGTTGCCACAGTTCGCATTTTGACGGACAGATACTAAACATTTATTGAAGTCGTTGCCGTTGGTGCCCTTTTTGGCCCCGAGGTCGACTATTCAAAGTGCTTACTCAAGCATACACTGGCTGTATTCACTTGCTATTCGTAATCGTATTCTAATTTGCACGTGCTTGCAATTTGGCCCAAATCCAAACGCATTGCCAAATGCCACCGACGTGTGTGTGTGTGTGTGTTTGAGCCATTGATGGTATAAATCTTCATTAGGCGCACGGCTCAAGCCCAAACAGCTCAGACACAGGCTGGCGGTATTCACATGCCACCGCCTGCACAGTCACACGCAGAGATTCGCTCATGCCACTTGCCACATGACGCACTTAACTTATGCTCTTTATATTCTGCACATTTTGCTGACTTTTCCGTCTGATTTCACAAACACACACACACAAAGAAACTGGCGTGAGCACAGCTCAACGGCTTTACAGATATAAAAACTCGTAGTAGCATATTTGTACCTTATTTATTTTGCTTCGCATAATTTATTAATGTTGCGCATACTTTCATTTTTTTTTCTGAGTCCTGCTCTGCCTTGGCTTTTCATATATTCAATATGAAAAGGGAGGATCAGGCACAAGTAAAGGCAGTCCATAAAAAATCTTAAATAAGTTTGCAATCAAAATTTAATTTCGAATTCTAAAAATTTCGCATTCATTGAAAACATTTGCTCTGTGCCAAGTACATAGTTTAAGGCTTTGCGTGCATTGGCTAAAGTAAAGCGACCGTAAAGGTTTGATTGCTTTAGGCTACTAAAAGCTCTCTGAAAAGTACATTGCGTAAAGCTTTACTTGCTTAAAGGCAGCTAAAAGCGAGATTTATTCGAAATATGCAAAGTTTGTATATGTGCTTTCCAAGCTCTTGAAGATATTTTTGTTTGGAAAATTTTGTTGATTTGCCATTTCGCAGATTAATCTATTGCCTAAGTGCCACTTCCAGCTAATGTCAATTGCTCTCTTACGAGCACATTACATAGTCAAGCTGTTTCGTCTGGCATTTGCTTATTTTGTTTGTGTATACAAGTTCTAAATATAAGTCAGAATATCTCCTCTCTCCGCTCTTTCCTCGCAATCTCTCACTCTTGGTAAATATAAAAGAAGACGCTGACAATGTCGCCCCCGACAAGTAAGCCCCATCGCTGAGGCGTCATTTATTGACAAAAAAAGCGAATGTTGATGCCTCATTTGATGAAGTGGCATAAAAATCAGAATTTGATACTTACTGACGACATCTCCGAAAGTTACGAAAATAGAATTTGAGTGATGAATCGCGAATGGCAGAAAAAAATGTATGTATATAAATCAAAATAAATAAATAAATAGGTTGACTTCAGTTAAAATTGGGAAATGTGGATAAGATATTCGTAAGAATTGTGCGCCATTACAGGGTATCCACGTACGGCTAAACAAGTGTTATTTAATAAAGAAAGTTCCAAATTCCAGTTGTTATGAATAGTCTATTGTGCGAGACTTTTCAAAGCAGCATAAATCACAATTCAAAGATTTTATTTAATATTAAGTAAACATTTTTATGAAATTCACAAGGTGCCTTTTGAATGAAAAGCAAGAAAACAGAAATACTAAAGTAAATAATGGAATAGTTTAGCTAAAGGCAAAGTAAACACAGGTCTGAAAAAAAACGGAATGAAGTCAAGTATCATAAATTTATAAATATATATCAAATATTTTGCCTAGAAATATTTTCATACGAAAGCCTAATTTCCGAGCAAACATATAATTATATATTAGTCCAGTTTGTTCCTGGTCCACAGATATATAAGAAAAATTGTGGACATAGCTGTTGCTACGTTTAGTCAAGATATGTTGAAGCACAGAACAGATTTTCAAACCAAACTCTACTTTAGACGTATTCTTCGTAAATATATTAACACCCTCTCCCAGCATATAAATATATAGCGATAATAAACTTAGTAATTAAATTAAGGTTATTTTAAATAATATGTTCATATCACTTACCGCTTGCGATTTTTTAGCTTAACATAATTTGATAAACAATTGAATTCAGCAATTTCTGGAAAAATGAAAAGAAAATTAATAATTAAAATACATATATAATAAAACTTTGTGTAACTGAGAAAAAAAATCTTCATATATATGGCTTACTGCATTTTCCAGGTACTAATTAAATTTCTAGATGCCTGAAAAGTGCTGCTCATTAGCCAAAACTTGAAGCTTGTTAAAGTTTGTTGACTAGCACCGCCCCCACAAACCTCTCAGCGCATTCACGACTGTAAATGTTTTTGCAGACATTCCAAAAACAATTTAAACTATGCAAAAATTTGTCTAGAAATAACAAAGTGCGGATACGTTGCTTAACATCAAAATCTCCTGCCAGTTGTTCAGCTTGCGCAGCGTTGCCAGACTGTGCAATGCCTAAAGTTGAGCACTTAGACACGCATTGAAATCAAAATAAATAAAATTAAAAGCAACAACGGCCTATTGGCGAGCAGGCTACGCCTCTCTACTATGTTGTGATGCTGCTTCTCGACCCTGCTGCTGACTTCAGTTGGCTGCCATTTTGCCAGATAGAAAGCCAATTTTATGACTCAACTTAAATAGGCACTTTACTTTACTCTTAATGCCTTTTTATGAGGCGCAGTTAGTGGCCCGTTGCTCAAGTGTTGGCGGCCCCAGCAGCTGTTAGTTTTTGTGAAGCCGTCCCAACCAACCGCCCATCCAGCTACAGCCGGCCATTAATGATTGTTAAGAGCGCAACTCGGTGACGCTTTATTGTTAAATAAATAGCAAATAGTCGCTAGTTGCAGCTTCCGTCACACGCACTTATCTGATTTTACACTGAGCCAAAAGCTGTTGTCATTGTTCAGCGCTTGACTGTTGGCCGTGCTGGGCTCTTAATGTTAACGTTCAATAAAAATTATGACAGTCGCAAAGTTAAACGCTCTGGCGGCCATTTTGTGTACGTGTGGGGCGTTTGGGTGTGTGTAGGGGGCGTGCCTCAATTAAATGCTGCCACATTGCTCATGCTATTTGGCCTTGAGTTCATGGCCTGGGGCCAGTTGACGCATTTACACAAAATTACCGCCAAGTGTCAAATGCAAACATTTTGTTTCAACAATATTTGCAATAAAAACAGCAACAACAACAACAACAACAAAAAAACAGCGCTATTTTGCAGCAACTTTTCCGTTCGTTGCGCATACTCAAAAACTTGGCAGGGAGCGTCAAGTGTTTCCGGGCCACAAAAGCGAATGTTCACTTCGCTTGGCAACCAACATTTTCGCTAAAGTTGTTTGCTAAATTCTAAACCAAATGCTGCGGGTCCAAGCAGTGGGCGTGGCGCGCACACACAAACACGCATACAACTAATTGATAAATTTTAAGCATTTAATTAAAACTTTTCAATTTGCCTCGCCGAACTAAGTAACGCGCGTGGCCAAATGCAATGCACCTAAAATTATTTGTGTCAATTGTTTTGTGCCCCGTTTTAAATTACAGCCAAAGCGCGAATTTAGTTAACGGCGACAAATAAATTACGTGTACGGCCGGCAGCGGAAATGTAAAATGGCATATACGAATACACAAGTACATATATAATATATAGATATATGCTATGCCTATCAATAAACGCAGCAAATATATTATATAGTGGCTTTTATGATTTTCAATAAGTATAATCAAGCATATTTATATCTTGCATCTAGCTTAGCTGAGCTCAATTTTCACAGCGGCACTGAACCAAACTCTAAAATAATTAAAAATAATTATAAAAAAATTAAATACAAATCAACAATATTATATAGATTATAAGATTATATATTTAAAGAAAATGTAGCAAAAAATTGGGTTTTATGCTCTACTGTTTAGCAAGCTGTTTGCACAGAATTATGTTATTTTGCTGTATTCGAGTGCAGCTTAACGTAGTTAATCTTTGTGTAAGGACACTGCATTTTACTGTATTATATATTTCCTATTTTAATTCGAATATAAAAATGCAATTCAATTGAAATAATATCTATATATATGTGTGCATATTTTATACATATATTTATATATACAATATATAATTTAAATATCAAATGAACTAAATTAGCTGACAACAGCATAAATCATATTAAATTTAGCTAACGTTTCGGAATTTAATGTGATTAATTGAATATGTATAATAATTTATTTTAAATTGAACAAAAGGCTAACATTGAAATCGTTTTTTATATTATATAATAATGTTATAATATAATTTGAGCATTTTCTGTGCACATTACGCATACGCAACGTGCGCGCAGGCAACAAAGTTTAATTATTACCAAACCATAAGGGAATGCACACGCAACACACACACACACACACATGCACGTGGCAAATCATTTTTGTACAACAAATGCGGCGCAACTTTTGATTAAAATGTCACGACAGACTCACAAATACACACACGCAAACAAATACTGACTTGGCTGCTTGCATATACAAAGTTTGGCGTATGCCGCAGCGGTAATAATCATACACACATTAGACACACACGCACACACATGCAGCTGAATGCTGTGCAGAAAAGTCAAATTGTTGTTGTTTTGGCGCAAAATGTTTGCGGCGTATTCAGTTGCTCCAGCATCTGCATCTGCTGGCTCTTTTCTTGCACCTCACTGAGTTGACAATACGCAGCGCTTGTAAATCCAAAACAAGGAACCACAACGAGCCACAGCAGCAGCATCAGCAGCAGCAGCAGCAACAGCAGCCGCCGCCGCATCAGCTACTCGTTGTGAAAAATTCAATTACAAAGTCGCCCAACTGCAGCAAAGGAATGCAAAAAAAAAAAGGGAAATCATTGTTATCTACGTTTTGACAAAGTTTAAATACCCTGCCAGCTATATTATGCAAATGGAGTCAAATATTGTTAATCTGTCCAATTTTGTTCAAGCTCATTGGAAAATATTACCAAAAATCCTTTAGGAAGTAGAACAAATATACCTATATGGTAATTCGAACCGAGAAATTCCAAATTATATGCTGCCTACCACAAGAGAGCAGGGAACGGAACCATGTCCTGTATGAAGATAGCTTTAAGTCGAAGAGAAACAGCGAATATAAATATGCGTTATGGCTGCAAAGAAGGAATCTCTTCCGTGCGCTGAAAACTTAGTGCCAAACAAGCCGCAAGCATAAAAAAACTAAAACTCACAGAATAACAACTCGGCGTGTTTTAATGCATTACACAGTTGGTAACAAAATGCAAACGCCCAAGTGTTAGGGTAAAGCAAACTTTTTTTATGGAATTGGATGCAGATGCAAATGCAGCAGCGGCAGACAGTTGCGTCTCTGTGTTATGCGGTCGTCGTTTGTCCCCAGCAGAACTATGCGAATTGTGAACTGCGAACTGCGAACTGGAAAGCGGCAAACGGCAACTGGCAACTGGCATCTGGCGACTGAAAATCGTTGGCCAAATTCTGTAAGCAGTCACGTGCGAACGTGACAAAAATGCCACGATGATGCGCCATGCTCTTTGGCCAAGTTGCCGACTGGGCCACAACCAATGGCCATAACCAGAGACAGAGGCGAAGGCACAAAGCTTGCTTCGCATTGTTCACACACAGCAGTTGGTTGATTGCTGTGTGTGTTTGTGTGTGCTTGTGTGTTCCGCACTTCATATTACACTGTTTTCTTTGGCCCGATCTTATGGCAAAGATCGAGCCACAACAATGCACTGAGAACCGCAAATGCGATATAGTTTCGTTGTGGGCTGTAGGGGGCGGGGCCTGTTCGCATTCAAATGCGAGCCCGGCAAATTGCTGTGAATTATGCGAGCAAATAGGATGTCAATTGATGCAGTGCTGACAATTGTGTCAACATCAGCTGCAGCTGCACCAGCTGCTTTTTTAATGCACAACCATTTTATACAGCTTTTATATATATTTATACATAAATGTTGACATATATGTTGACAATTTGTATGCTATATGTGTACATATGTGCTAGTGTACACTGTCAACATGACAATGTCATTTTAATTGCTCTGCATATATATAATTTTTTTTTTTTAATTTTTCTTCTAAACATTTTTAGGCAAATCAATTGGAAAATTTTCATGTTATCTTTTACACGTGCAGACAAATCTGGTGTACAATATATTGAAAAGCCATACTCTATGAAAAATTAAACTGAATTTTTTTTAATTTTGGCTTAAATGTAAATATTTATTATTTTCATTTATATACACTGATCAGGATGTCAGTCCATCTTATGAATGTGTTCATCTCAGAGGCTGCAAGAGCTGCAATTTTCACAGTCCTGAATTCTAACTATCTTGGTTTAATCTAAAAATATCTTATATCATATCAAACTATAAATATTATTCTATAAAGTATATTTTTTCAGTGTCATTGTCAAGCTTCTTATAATGATAAGAGTTAGTTTTAAATTTTATTTAACTTAAATTTAAACGCAAGTAAATGGAATTTGCAAGCATTGTGTTAGTTAAATGTTCAAATAAATAAATGAACCAAAATCACATCAAATGCCTGCATTCAAAATGTAAAATTCAATTCGAAATTATCTATCTCAGAACTATATGTAAACTGTTTAACTCAATTATAGAAAATCAGAGAAATTGTCAAAGTGTTTATTAAATAACTAAGATGAGATTTCAAACGTTAACAAGAGCTGACATTTTGCTGAACTTGCTGTTCACTAATTAATTTTGCATTAGTCGCAAAACAAATTCCAAACATAATCAACAGTTGGCAACGCACCTAACTAAATACACTAAGGCAGGTATGGAAATATTTATTTAGGGATAGTTCTCGCAGGAAAACTATCAAATCTTATTGTGAAACAGTGTGGTTTAGAGATGCGTGACCAAATTAATGCAAAGCAATTGAGATTTGAAATTTAACATTTTGGCTTAATTGACATACAGCAAATGCCAATCAAGGACGAGCACACACACAAAATCCGCATCCGTTTGCCCAACGCAATTATGTTTAATTGTAAAATATTATTTGGTTTACACAAATTACGCACGGCAAATGAGTTGCATCGATGCCGAAACGTGTTATGTGGTTGCTTTAATGGCAAAACCAGCCCCAACTATGAGCCCATCTCCACCCACAATCAAAGCTTAATCAACATGGAATATAAACTAAAGCAGACCACAGACACATCAAATGCGTCTGTGTATGTGATTGTGTGTGTCTCTGTGTATGTGTGTGTGTCATATCTCTTCTTTTCCACGTATTTATATAAATGAACATATTTTTGCCAGTCGCAACTCTTGTGCAAATATCAAATACTAAGTGTGCGCTTATTTAATTTATATACCCTAACAAGCGGCCATTTGTAGCAGGCATGTCCAGTTGGAAGGAGGGCTGTTTATGTTCTCTATTTTCTAAAATATAATTGGGTTATATAAGCATTTAAAACTGATTTATTACGTGCAATAGTATTGATGTTACTTAAGTGGATTACACGACGTATACGTAATTGGCTTTAAAGAAACTCTTGACATTTGAGTGCGAATTATGTTATAAACTGTGTGTGGGGCGTATAGGTAATATTTCTAACTCGAGTTGGTCTTAATAAATAAATCAATTATATTTTATTTGAAATACTAATATTCATTTAATTTATTATAAGCCGTATCCTATATTTAAATGACAGGTCTATTCTAAGAAAACAAGTAAGAAATATTTTAGAATATTATGTATTGAAAACTTGATATAATTTAAAAAAAAAATGAATAAATGATGTTCCATTTGTTCATTGATTTTTTTCCATTTAATAAATAAATTTCCAACAGTTGCATATCATGAAATTGCAAGCGCAAGTGAACTTCGCTCTGCTCTAAAATGCGTATTATTCTTTCATAATTTACTTGTTTGTTCATATTTTCCTTTTTTTAAAGCACATGTGCCAACATTTGTCGGGAAAATACGTGTAATAAACACGAAGATATTTACATATAACCGCGGCTGACATTTTTGTTATTGTTTTCGTTTTGTTGCTTGTGAAGACAGCAAATTTTCATAAAATTATGCGCAGATTTTTGTCCAAATAGAAGCGAAAATTGTTGGCCGGGAAAGAGGGCGAGAGAGGGTTTGGTTGGCAAAATGCATCATAATATCCTGCTAAGCAAGGGCACCTTAATTAGCTGTGTCATTTTATGCAAATGATTAGAGTGTGAGTGTTTTGAGGTGGGGGCGTAGTAAGCCCGCCCGCTGCTAATGAAAATCCCAATGAAAGATATTACGTATACGCAATGCTTATGCGCATTCAAATTAATTGACTTCACGCTGTTATTGTTTATCCAACGACAGACAACAGACAGCGCATATATTAACACATTTTAAAATGCTTTTCTCACCCTGCCCTTCTTCCCCTCTCAACAGGCTACATGGCAGCTGCGGAAGAGGCAGCAACAGTGGCGCCAGAGCACAGCGCGACGTCAGGCAGCAGCAGCAGCAGCAGCAGCCCAAGTGAGGAATTACAGCGGCATATAAATCAAAATTTAATTATGTCGCCAGCGCTCGGCTCCAGCTTTGCCGCCGCATCGGCGGCCGCACTGACAGCTCCACAGCCCCCCGTCGCCTCCTCGTTTGCCACCTCATCCTCATCCTCATCGGGCAGCAGCATAACAAGCTTTGACTCCAACAACTTGATCGATGACAAGAGCCTGCCACAGCCGCCACACCAGCAGCAACAGCATCTCGAACAGCTCCAGCTGCAGCACCAGCAGCAGCAACACTCACGTATTCAGGCCAAAGATACGGCCGGCCCATATCCAATACCTGTGCACAGGCCGGAGCCCGTCGAGAATCATCTGGAGGCGACGCACGGCATCGATGGTGCGGATAATGTGTTCGGCACGCCCATGTACTTCGGCACCGAGAACTCAACGGTGGTGACTACACAGATTGGCGCCACCGCCCACGTACCCTGCACCGTACACCACATTGGCGAGGGTGTGGTAAGTAAATATACCCATTGTATTCTCGCATAGTCATGCTTCTCTACTCCGTCTCATGGCGCGTTCACGTTGTCGTATCTCGTACCTGTGCTTACAAATGAGTCATTCGTGCACCGCAATTCACATTCATTCGCCGCACTCGTTGCCATTGTTTTAATATTTTATTTTAAATCAATTTATCAACTTCTGTGTTTGAATTGTGGCCAGCTTCACTTGGTCTCCCGCTTTGCGTTTACTGCGCTTCCCGCATCCTCCTGGCGCATAAATTAACAAAGTGTCATTCACAATGGCAAATAGATCGCGCACAATTCCACTTGACGTTTTAATTGAAAATTAAAATCTATAAGCTGACTTTAAAATAAGTTGTATAAAAATGTCGAGGAAAATCAAAGCCCTATTCATGAGAAAATATAAAATAAGCGCGGCGCTATATAGAACAATACAAGTATGAACAGAAACTTACATAATAGAGCTTGTATTTTTGCCAACATAGCTCTAAGTTTCAACATGTTAAGAAAGATCCGGAGTCATTTCTTAATGTATATATATATTATATTTCTTACTTTTTTAAATATTTCCTTTTAAACTTTTTTTTATTATTATATTAATAATATATGGCAAATACGTATTTCATATTTGTACTTCAAATCAATATCTCAATTATCCAAACTTTATACGACAAAATTATAACATTTTAAATAGATACTTTCACGCCTGAAGGCTATCTTCAAGATGAAATTCCAATCGTTTTCTATAAAAACTTCCCCAAATGCATCGCAGCTTGTTTAGCTTTAATGGAATCAGCAAAAATTCCTCTAATGGCAAATTCCAATTTATTTACTAATTGGGAACCGTGGCATATATTTATGTGGACCACCCGCCAAGCTGACAATTTCAGAGAATTAATTACATTTTTTTCCCCTGCTTATCGAGTGCACTTCGAAATTGTAACGCGTCACAATAATGAAGCACAACTAATATTATGTTACCAACATATGTATAGGTAGGTATGTCTATATACATTTACGCATTATCCACAACAAGCGTAAGTCATTATAGACACCACACACACACACAGACACTTACATATATATACACAGACAGGGGAGAGCACAGATCCCATATCCCATATCCATGGCGTCTAGGGCTAACAAATTGCACCTATAGCTAATGTACATCAACTACAAATAATCAAGCAGAACGCAGACAAATATGAGGTGTGAAAGAGAGCAAGAACAGAGAACGGGACAGAGAGTGCTATTGAGGCTGTACAGCCCCAAGTGGTATTAATTTTACGCTTGTCTAGAGTTATTACTCATACGCAGCGTTCGCCTCACGCACGCTTCGCCTATTTGTCTAAGCCCGCCTGTGCTGTTTAGGGAATTCAGAGGCCTCAGTATGTTTACGCCCCGAAATGCTGGACACGATGCGGAACGTGTGCTGCCAGCCTATTTGTAGAGGTGTGTGTGTGTGTGTGTGTGTGTGTGTATGCGTGTTTGTGCGGTTGTGTGGGCGTGTCTGTGCGTGTCTAGTTTAAATTGACGATTTCATAATTGCGCCTTCAAGTGTGCAGAAGTTAATAAGCACTTAAGCGACTCGATGCCAGCTGCGTGGCTTTTGGTCTACACACACTTCCACACACACTCAACCAGAGTGTGTTAACTCCCCGTGTGTAACTGGTTAGCCTGGTTTGCACTTTAGCCGTGCCGTACTCGTGTGTGTGCCAGCTCGTGCTCAAGTGGCCATTGGGCAGCTTCTAAAGTTGGGCTTCTAAATGCCAGGGCTTGCCTAATAGCTTGGCAGTTAGTTGAAAATCATAATAATTCCCATGCAGCAATTCAGTTGATGATATTGCTACCGGGTATATTTACCCATGGACAGCAGCCTGGCAGCCAACATATGTGGCATTAATGAGGCATGCCAATTGCATCTGTCACGATTTCCGTTCATTAGGGAAAATACGTATTGCATACGCATTAAGCATATGCCATGTAATTGCTGTACACAAATTAGAAGCAAAAGCAAAGCAAATTTCATCAATGCTAAGACTCTTTGGGACACACTCACATCGTTGACAGCCGCCTTTCAGCGAGCTGTGTACTAGAGTTTTGTCTGTTAAAGGCGTTACCCTTTGCCATTGACATCGACTTTTATGCTTCACCTTTGCTATTTAAAGCTCTTTATGATACACATATGCTAACAACACAGACATACTCGCACGCACCTGCACATCGAATACAGTATCTAGTTGTTATAAATGCATTTACCTTTCACATCATTTCTCATGCATTTTGTGTAGTTCCTCCCTAAGCCCACACCTGCTGCAGAGTTGCCTTTGCCGAATGCACATTAATATTTGCAGAAATTTATGAACGGCATTAAGGGCACACGAGATTGTAACATGCAAATGTACATTTGAAAAGCAAGTTCAATGAATAGGAAATATGTGTGTATAGGAATAGAACATTTAATTTAAGTAGTACATAAGAATTTGAAAAGGAAATAGTGTACATACAGTGTAGGTAACAGAAATGTTGTAGATGTCTATAATATACATAAATAAATTAAATGTTAGGTATATGAATTCATGACAATCGCATAGAAAGGCGCTCGGAATTTGAGAAGAAAGAAATAAGCTTTTTGCTTTTAGTGTTCTGTCTCTCTTTGCTTTTATCTGTCTCTCTCTGTCTCTCTCTGTCTCTCTACTTTTCTTTCGCTGCATATTTCTGTTCTGTTCTAGTTCTAGTTCTGCCCTACTTACAATACTTTCGAACAATCCCCTTTAATTTTAGAATATTAAATGTTCTATTTAAACATATCTTATTATAACATTTCATATTTTCAAACTACAGGGCATAACTAAGTCGAGTTTCTTGTTCAGACCATCGACTTATAGTCATTGTCTATGGAGTACAGAGCAGACTCGTTTGCCTTTGTCTCATGCCTGGCAAAGGCTTGCTTGTTTGTTTTTTTGTCCCTTGGTGGTTTATTTGTTTGTATGTTGCACCCTTAATGAAGGCTTCTTTGGGATAAAATACGGGAGGGGTTTGCCCTCTAAATATGCATACTAAACATTTCCGCGCTTTTTTGCCAGCCCCTGTCGTAGTCGTTTGCCGTTGATGTTGCCATTGTCGTTGTCGTAAATTTTGTTCAGCTTCAGACGACAATAAAATGCAGGAAACATTAAATAAATGAATTGCTTCCGCGAGGAGTTCTACGTAAATGCGTTGTGCTGTGCGAGCCTTTGTTTCACCATTTTGCTGCAATTTTAATTTTTGTCGCGCTGCGATTTCGCAGTCGTCGCCTTTTCCTGGCAACACCAAACCGCTAGCCAAGTTAATGTATAAATCATCTAAGCAAATATATATATGGGTGTGTAGGTAGAGAGAATAGGAAACTGAGAAAACTTAGCCATAAGTCAAAGCCCTACGAACTATGCTTATTCAATATCTGAATGTAGAATACATATGAACTCTATATTGTTTTGTTTTAAATAAAATTTGTCAGTTTGTTTTAATTTTCTTATTGATTTTCATTATAATTATAATAAAAGTTAAAAAAACGAATTTAAATTAGAAAAGTTCTGTTGAATTTGAATAAAGTTGAACCGGCGATCACCCTGCTCGTTAGTCCGACACTCAGAGACCTAAGCCACACAGGCTCACGACGTTACGTTTGCAAAGCAGATTTGTAACCAAGAACTTTGCCAAACTTTTTCCCAACTTGGCGTTCAAATGTAATAAAAAAACCTTCTGCGATTTCAAGTGTGATTTTCTACTTTGGCTTACGTTTGTTTTTGTTTTGAGTTTAGATAATTAATTATTATTTATCATCCAGTTACGTTTACAATGGGTAATAGTTCCATATTTATCAAGAGTTTGTGCTAAAATTAGTTTTAAATTTAAAAGAAAGAACTGAGAACGCTTTGATGCAACAGGAAATTCTCAGATAAAGCAAACATTCAAAGTTTTCTTTAAGTAGATTTTCTCGGTTCGAATGCACGACTTAATCTAAATTCCAATTAAGTTATGTGCTGGAAAATTTGCAAATGCGTTTGACAATAGCAATTGGCTTGACAAACAACAATTCATGCAGCTCAGCAAACAACATAAAGCAAATCTTTGATAGCCAAAGACAACAAACAGCAAATTTAAAGCGCATAAATCAAATTGCAGTCGAGCAACTGCAGCAGCAGCAGCAACCACAAAATAAAAGCCAAAAGTTCTAAATGTCATCCGTTGCAGCAACAACAGCAACAACTGGGGAAAATAGAGTGGGAAACCCAAAGTGGAAATTAGATATTACGACACATTTTGGGCTTAGACACACAGTCTACAATAAAATATGTCATTTGAGAATTGCTGCAGTTCTCGGTGTGTGAGCAGCTTAAATGACATTAAAAATAAACGCAGGCAAATACATTTAAGCTAAAGCAAATGTATGAAACGTACGCTGTCAGCCATCAGGCATGCTCGCTTAAGGCTACAGCTGCCCTCCGCTGTAGGGGCAGCACCCTCCCCTTACTCCACACACACACTCACACACCCTTATATATACATATAGATTGAACTTAATCAGCAGCCAGAGGCGAGCCTGCAACTAAAGGCTGCCGCCTGGAGGTAGCCAGGATGTCATCCTGTTTGTTTCTGCTGCTGGTGCTGCGCGCGTGTGCGTCGTTGCCTCGACTTGAGCACTTAATTACTTTTTAGATAAATTGTCGTTTTTAATGTCTAGACTCTTAGATATTTTCATAGAGAAAAGTGGCAGTAATTAAATGTGCTCACAGCACGTCAGGATAGTAGCCAAAGCAGAGGCAAACATCTAAAGCGAATGCCAAATGCTTAAATTGCAGCAAAAAACTCAAGTGCCTAATGCGAGTGAGAGCTTACTTGGGGCATTTAGATAGCACTCTAGATACATCAGCTAATTTATATATAATTTGCTAGATTACAAAAGGGAATATAATTATAAGCTAAATTCTAGTCCAGACAACTGCACCT